TGGTGTGCTGTGGAAGGAGCGCTTGCAACAGGCAGGCCTCAGACCTGCCCTTTGGTGGCCTTAGTAAAACAAAGTCCTTTTGAGAAATTTTCTCTTTTAAGAGACAATAAATGAAATCTGCAGATATTCACAGACCGAAACCCAACATTCAGCAGTCAGACTCTGATGAACCCAAAAGGGGGGTCTTGCTTGAAAGACAGAAACTTCATCGTTGATCCACAGAACACAATGGTAAATAATGACTCAGATCAAAAGGAACAGTGAAGAAAGCAAAAAAGGAAAAAAAGTAAAGGTAATTTGTAAGATGTCTACTTTATGAGCGTATTTTCATCAAAGTCCTGTGTCACATGCCTTAAGTCACCTAAATCCATCAACTTTTATCTTTGATTTTTAAATATTTACCCAGTTCTTGGGGGGTGGGCAGGAGGGGGTTGATGCCCTATATTTGGTATATGAACAAACAAGTAAACAGAGCAACTGGAAAACTGTTGAAATAATGTTTTTAAACCTAATTTATTTGAAAATATCAAGACTTAAATGCCATGTGAGGAGGTAACAGTAAGTTCTGGAAAGTTTCAATGTTGAACATCTCTGTAGAGAACAGATAGGATGTAGAGCTAGTAGCAGAGATCAGTAAATGGTGGCTGAAAACATTTGGCGCCTGTTTAATGCTCAGTGAGGTATCTGGGGAAAAGAGAGACAAGAGACTGTTTTTCCAACAGAATTCAGTAGAATATGTGACATTGTTTAACATGGAATTCAAGTCCTGATTTTGTAATACCAGAATAGTATTGGAGTACTAATAGTAGTAGTAGTAGTAATAAAATTAAATTGTTTGTTCAGGTGCTTCAGTGTAAGTGTCAGACTTGCCATTTTGGCATGATCGTTACTAGATGCTCTGATACTGATCTCTCTTCACTGCTACGTGTGTGTTTCTGTGGCACATACAGAAGGAAATCAGGCTTGAACAAGCATGTGAGACATACATTGGCACTCTAAGTGCAGAGGTTTGGTGGTAAATCAATATTTGCACAAATTGAGAATTCATTGAAAGACTAGACTGAATGTAATATGTTCACCAGGATGGCAGAGGAAGATGTATCAGGAAAAGTGACAAAAGTAGGATTTACAAAAGGCATAAAATAAAGCAGCCAACACTTTTGTTAACTTGCAGCTTCCTAATCGTTGCTGCTGGATCCCCCGCCTTTGGCTACCTTAGCTTATACAGTGCCTTCATTTCCTGTTCTTATTCAACGAAAGATCAGTGCCAGATACATTAAATGTATCTCTAACAACCTGTCAGATGCCATTTTACACTCAAGAGGTAACTGAAATTCATGAATGTGCTCTAGAGCTTTCCATCAGACAAATAAATTTCATTCATTCAGTCTTACACTCTCCTCTTTCGCTATGTGTAGTTCTAGTCTCTGCTCCTTGCTCCCAAGTTAAACGTTCCCCTCCTCTTTACCAGTTCATAAGATTGCCTGGAGTTTAAGAGGAGCTCAGCTTCAGTTCATTAGTATCTACTTCGTCAAGAGGTGCCTTGGTTCTCTAAAGCAGGAAAACCTCTGTGAACTAATATACGGATTATGGGGCAGCAAAGAAGTGTCAAGCCCTAAAAGCGCACGGCAAGAACTTCATTTTCGAGAATGCCGCCTTCCTCTGAGATTTTCCCCATAGTTTACTTCTTGTTCTTTAAAATTTCCAGCCTTATTCTGTGTACGCTGTTGGTACATGGTACTGATGCTTACATAAATGAGGAAGGTTATAATCCTTGCCGTGGCTCAGAGTGTACCTGCCAGGCACCAGCCTCAGCCCCAGGAACACCGGACCAGCAGCATGCCCCGTAATTCTCGGTGTCTCACGCTGCTGCCCACCTGTCTGGCTCGCTGGGTGCCTTTGCTCAGCTTTGTCGGCAATCTGCACAGATAATTTTGTGCTTGCCTTAAACCGCCTTGCTCGTGTGTGCCCACGCCGCAGCACTGCTGTCTGGAGCCTGGGGCTCTGGGAAGCTTGGAGGTGCTGGGGTGGCCAGCCTGTGCTGGCCCGCACCGCGCCACCGCTGTCTGCTGGCAGCGCCCCTGTTTGCAGCGCAGGCATATGCTCTCCCAGATTCAGTGATTCATTTTGCCTCCCGATCAGCCATTACTGATTCGCTGGCTGGGATGATGCGAAAATAAGCTGTTGTCTACATCTCATCCCTTTTTGCATCCGGCCATCTTGTTCCCTCTGGGAAGCTCTACCATACGGCTATCTAGTTACAGAGTGCGTTTAATGTGCTTCTTACTTCCTCAAGCTTAACTCCCGCGTGCCTAATGCAGTTCATGAACACTATGGAAGACAGGTAAGTACAGACCCTTGCAGAGGCAGTCATGCATCCAACACCGGGTGTGCACAAGGCAGCCTCCTCCTGTTCAATACCTGCCCTAAGCTGTCCTGAGCAGAGCCTGGTTTCCAAATGCCGCTGTACTGTATCACCCTGCCGCGGCCGCCGGCTGTGCTGGAGCCTGCAGCCCGTGCCCAGCCTCTGGGTAGGCACCCGAGCTACCTGAGCAGAGCCAAAACTCGCGGTTTTCTTGCCTTGGTGGGATGCAAGGAGGAGCCCCCTCAGTAAGGTGTATCTGAGGCTATGCTGTAGTTGGGGCTTTAATGGACGGCAAGCGTGGCAGCAGCTGAGTGGGCTGCGCTGGCCAAGCTTTCAGTCTCATCACCTTTCTCACCTGCCTCCTGCTTTTGGCAACTGGATGAAAACATGAGCTGTAATTCAGAGCTAACGCAGAAGAGGGCAGTCATGTATTAGTCTTAAGGGTTCCTGAAGTTGATGCTTTTTGGGGTCAACATTCAAAGGTTGGTTATTTTCCCTCTCTCCGCAACTGCCTGCCCGCCGGGCAGCAGGAGTGGCGGCGAGGCCTCGCCACGCGCCACAGTCGAGGTCCAACGTGTTTTCATGGAGTCCAAATATTTGCTTGGTTACTAAAGTCGTTTCAAAGAGAGAGAAGCGACAAACAACGACTTACTTGCTAAAGCACTTTTAGGATTGGTAATCATTTAGAGTGCAGTCATCTTTCACTTTGAATTTTAAACATTTTACCCTTGGAAAAGATCTAGAAATTCAATTTCAAATTCTGTTGAGAATTGTTGGTGTAAATAACTGATCGTTTGATCAACCTGCTCTTTTATTAGTCACTTCAAAGCCCTCTCAGCTATCTGAAAGGGATTTGCAGAATATTTCCCAAACAATTTATTTGAGATTATGTAGTATTTTTAATATTGCCTTCTTTAAACTGGGATATTTATCGCTAATTTCGTTGACAGTGATCACTGATAACTTGACAGATCCTTATACTTGAGGAAAATGGTCTTTCATCATAAACTGTTATTTTAGAAGTTTCCAGTAGTTGGTGCATTTGAGTTGAGTGAATTGACTCCAGAAGATTTTAGTATGCCTCACGTGCTTGGTAATAAATTGCTTTACGGCTTTTGTCTTTTGCACCGCCTTTGCAAATAACTGAAGTTTTGCAGTTAACTGTGATCCTTAGCATAGTTTGCAGGAAGGCAGTTAGCCAGCTAGCACAGAGGGATCTGATTTTTCAGAGCTTTCCATCCCGGGAAGTCACGCCAACCTGTTAAAAGAGAGGGCAGAATGCTGCTAAAACATTGTTTAACACCTGATCTGAGCAGGTCTGAGTGAGAACATAAAACATCACGTAGCCTAATAACATCGCACTATTGATTTTTAGCTCTGGTGAGTGAATTTCCCAAGAATTAAGAATTTATTTTTGTTTGTAGTATTCTCTTATTCAAAGACCAGGCTTTTGACTGGTTCTTAGAGGTGCTTTGCATATGCAGTGCTTATTCGAGTCAGTGGAAATTTGTTTATTTGAGGGCCGTCAAAAGAAACGTTAGAAAAAGTGTTGCTAGTATGAACTTGTACACTTAGTGACCAAGAGATGTCTTTGTCTACAGTCGCTAGCATCGTATGTTTCCGTGTATCTGAAGTGCTTTTGGTAGGCTTTGAATAAATGTATCATTTCTATGTATATGAAATCAGATGTTAAACAGGAAGGGATACAAGCCAGAGTACAGAGTTGGCATGTGTAAAGAAGTTAAGAATTAGGTGCCCAGAATCCATTGCACTTCAAAAAATTTGGGGCTTTTAAAAAAAAAAATCCAGTTTTTAGCATTCAAATAACAGAATAGAGGCGTAAGGGCATTCTAGATGTTTCAAAAAAGTTGAGGCACCCACTGAACAAAACATGCAGCATACAGCATCAGCGAGTAGGGACCTCTTATGGCTGACATCAACCTACGCTTGCTTATTCATAACCTTTTCCTTTCAGTAGTGAAATGCAGCAGATGCCAAGCTGGGCATGGAAATACCTTGCCGTTGAAACTGTGTTTACTTTTTTAGTGCTGAAGATATAGTAGCAAAAGTGCCGGGCAGCCAACTAACAACGGAGTATTTGGAGGAAAATGGCTTCACAGAACCCATCCTCGTTCCGAAGAAAGACGGCCTGGGCTTGTCTGTACCTGCACCCACGTTCTACGTCAGCGACGTTGAAAACTATGTCGGTGCGTATCTAGCAAGCATGTGGCGTTGTGTTGTTTAGAGCTCAGTTTAAACTCCTTTAAACCCGTCCCTGTGTTGAGAAGACTGCACCCCTGCCCGGAATAGGTCTCAGTTCATTCCTAGGCTGAGTGCGCCTGCCCAGCCAACTCCTTGAGCTAGTTCAAAATCGTGTTATGGCATGAAGGAATAAAGGAGAAAGGGATGAAGAAGAGGAATGGGAGGGATGTTGGGGCTGCCCTTTGTGTAAAAATCAGTTTGGTTCCTTCCATATAAAAGGAAGATAACTCGGGAGGAATTCAGTGTTTGTTTGCTTCTGTTGATACTTGTTTAAATCAGGCTCTTGACAAGCGCTTGGGAGAAGAACTCTTTCAGCTGGCTGCTCACTTCGGCTCCAGGCTGGGAGAGCTCTTGCCTCTCGTCTTCTGGTGCTCCCAGGGAAGATTGGATCTGGAGATCCCAGGCTCCTTGGTGAGCCTGCAGTGCCGTTCTCATGCAGGCTGTCTGTGGAGCAGGGTGACAGTTAACTAGAAGGTAAATAACAAAAATATTTCAGACTTCATATGTTTGAAGGCTTTAGAAAGATGGAGAAGACCACTCAAAACCTCACCTGTGCTATATAGGCCCTACAGCCCATATGTTTGTGGGCGGGTCTATACATGCTACAGAGAAAGCCTTGAGAAGGCAGACGTAGGGGACTGCAGGCTCTGTATGTATTCTTGCACTCCCCAGGTTGACTGAGAACCAGTTTAGCATTTGGTGCGAGTCAGAATAATCCTAGGGTTGTTTTCTCTCCTGCAGCTAGTGTGGTCCTAGTGAGCTGCGGCTTGGAGAGGAGAGGGAGTGAAAGGCAGTGTGCTCTGGAATTGCCAGCAGGTGCTAGGCCAGCGTAAAGGATGCTCTGGGCACAAGCAGTCCCATCGGGAGTAATGCTCCTGTCCTCAGGCCCAGTTCTAACCACCCTGCACTTCCTGCAGGAGCGCCTACTTCTGCAAAGCCATGTGAGATGCTCCAACTTGGATTTGCTCACGTTTTACATATTCTTTGCTTATGCTTTTTGCAGATTATTAAATGAAGGTTGTCAGGTATCCGAGCCTAGCTATATTAAGGCATTTTCTGTAAAACTATGATGTTTGCCCTAGCTGGCTGTTATCTTCTGCCTCAGAACTGGTGGTGCTTTCTTCATGAGAATTTGCAGAGAGCATTCACAGGGGGAGCAGTGCGGTGTATGTGTGTTTTATGGCCAAATTAGGAAGGAGACTTTGTTATTGTAAAATATTGTCATCACCCCTTGAGCTATGACGATTTCAAGCTTCATTATGCAGTGGTAAATTGTAATTAGTAATTAGTTTACTCTTGTACCAACTTACGTATCTTACAGTGAGCCTGAGCCAGGCTGAATTGTAGTCCAGAGCACTCCCATTAAAAGAAACAGTCACTGTGATATCCAAAAATTGTTTCTTCAGGCCAGGTCTTAAGTGATTGCTGCCATCTTGCTTTGTGTGAAAGTAATTATTAGACTGAGATTCCCACTCTGCAAAGGCAGACCAATTTAACACTTGGTGTCAGTCCATAGAAAGAGGCTTTTTTTGCTGCTGTTGGTCATTTGGGTTCGTTCATACACGCGTGCTCCTGTCTGTAACCTTGGCAGGGCATCGCATCGCGTCTTCTCTCTGGTCATCATGTCATCCCACCTTGGAAGACATACCTTGGCCAGGAGCCATGTAACTGCTATGAAATCACTTGCCTTGTTTACATACCCTTCTTCCTTTGGCATGTGTGATCTTGTCTGTTGTTCTTTCTTACTCCTCTTCTGTGTCATTTTCTGTGACATTCTTTTTCCTTCCAGTCTTCTGGCAACGTATCGTCCTTTCGGAGTCATGACTTCCATTCTGAAGTATCTATCTGTTTCACGGCTCCCTTTATCTCCTTACAAAGTCTATTAACCACTCCTTCCTTCTATACCGTACTTGCCAGGATACTGACCATTTCCCCAAACTGATGGGAGCTATCAGCAGCCACTGCTGTTCTTGACTGTCTCTACCCCTTTTGGCAGTGATTGTGTGCAGTGAGAGAACTATGAATAACAAAGAATGCAAGACCCCTGATTTTATTGTTCTCTCTCTCCCATTGCCTTCACAGGAAAAGCATTTTCCTTGTCCATCTGCTATGCATAGCAGATTTTCTTGTTTGACCTAGGTGCTCCTTAGGCATATGCTGGCTTTTTCTCAGCCTCTAGCTGAAGTAATCCACCCTCACAATAAAAGTGTTAGTGAAAAGCCAAAGGGAAGAACATAGATTATTTAATTCTGAAGCTGGCACTAGATTTTAAAGTGAATGAACAAATATGCTCTGATATAACCTCCATGGACTTAGCTGGCTTGAACGAGATTTCCCAAGCAAGAATTTATCTTGCGGTTTTGTAGTTTATTACATTGGTCCTAGAACGTCTTTTAGAAACAAGCAAATATCAGAGGATGAAACAGCACAAATGAGACCGCCACATACATCATTACTGTGCTGGCGTTCTATTTTGGAAAAAAACAAGTTGATTTCCTCTCTCTCCTAATGTGAGAAAGCTATGAATGAAAGACTGGAAGAGGAAAAGTAAGGCCAATTAAAACTGAGGGGAGGAAAGTCTAAAGGGATGCTGTTCTTCCGGAAGGGATAAGAGAATGTGCTTAGACATAGGCACTCTGACTTTCTCCATGTCTTCTCTGGTGTACTCTGGATAAAATTCTACTCATCTAATTGACTAGTACCATTAGTATTAACTCTGGAGATTTGTATCCAAGCTGTTGTTGACAAGCTGTCAGAGGAAATGCGTATGTACTAGCAGCTTATTCTCTGTATCCAAATACAGAGCAGATGGATTTTGGATAGATGTAATGTTAAGTAAAATAACAAAAGGTCAAACTCTTCATGGTGCACTTGAAATAATATCATTTTTAAATAGAAATCTTCCTGCAGAACTCCTCCTCATGTATAGATGTCATGAATAAAATCTTTAATAAAGCATAATGGAACTGATGTTTTTGAAAAATGAGTTTGACAAGATATGCTGTACAGTATTGCACTCTGTCTAGAATCATGAGGTCTTAATGCGTAGTGATTAGGGCTTACTTTGTGGATATCCAAGTATTTTGCATATAATTGTCACCAAGCAAATGAAATCTGCGATGAAATTAATAGGTTCAAAGTAACAGTAATCCTTTTCATGTAAAAACTACAGAAATAAATGTCATGGGGCATAAACACAAAAGTGTTATATAGATACATATCTATATGTGTGTGTGTATGTATGTATGTGTATGTATACAACCCCCCCCCCATAAAAACAATAAAATGATGGTTACAAAGGCTAAGAAGATCAGAAAATTAAAAGACTGACGTGTTTCTCAAAATGTTAACTTACCCATATTATATATATATAAAATGGGCCAAATAAGACTGCCCTTCAATCTCTCTTTTTCATTGAATTAATTTTTAGGACCAGAGAGAAGTGTTGATGTTACTGATGTCACCAAACAGAAAGACTGTAAGATGAAACTAAAGGAATTTGTTGATTACTACTACAGTACGAACAGGAAACGGGTCCTCAACGTGACTAACCTGGAGTTCTCGGACACTAGGTAAGATGGTCCAGCCCCTGCACTGCACAGGGTCCTGGATACTTCACCGGGTGTGAGTGAGGGAGTTTGAACAGCATCTTCCTTCTCCACTGGTGTTCTCTCTTTAGGAAATACTGGTTTAAGCTTGAGATACTGGTTTCTTGTTGTTCTGACTCGCCACTGCGTTGTCTATATATAGCCATTTTAGGCAAAACATGGAAATGAAAGTGCTATTAACTGTACCACGAGAATGCTATGTAGTGGACAACATGGGCTGGTATTTATCTTGGTACTTCAGACTTGCAGATCATCAGCATTCATACATCAGAATAGAACATTTTGGCACCTCTCAGGTTTATATTAACTCTAGTAGTAAAGGTGTAGTCAATTCAGTACTGTTAATTCAGTACATATTCAGTTAATTCAGTACATATGCTAGAGGGATGTACGTCAACTCTCTGTTTTGTCCTGGTAGTGAATGATAATATAGGATGTTTCTAGTATAATGTTAGATATCTATGTGCAGCCAGACAAATACTGATAAGACCAAAGAAAGAAGGACAAAGATGTATCACAGAGGTATCATAAAACTGTATGTAAGTTTGTAGGAAAACATGGACATGAGAGGTCTTATTTTTTAATATTTTGTGTTGGTTTCCTGATGAGATGAGAATCTTGATGGATGTAAAGCAACAAAAGTCCTTCCCCAGCTTAAGGCCATCTTTTAACATGGTCATCTCCTCAGAGGTTCTTTTTTAAAATGTGTTGTGCAGCAGTGAGCATGCTATTTATATAACGCTGATAATAATGAACGGTCATTTTGATTGCATGGTATATTGCATATTGAAATCCATTTCTATTTAATGTTGTGGAGACCAAGTAAATAGATGAGGTGTGGCTCTAGGTGTGGCATAACACATCACTGGCTGTTCTTTAATGAAAGTAAGTTTGGAATAATTATAATTTTGTAATCCTGTACTATCTGTAAAAGTTTTAATTTAAGTCATTTTACAAGTTAACCTGTAATCCATATGACAGCAGTTCAGAACTAGAGTGATGCTAATAGCCTAACAGAAAGTTGAGCTCTGAATTTGAAGCCGAGGCGCTTTAGTGATGCGGTGAGCTAGATGTAGCGGTACTGGCGACGTTCATTTTATCTGTACTCAGTGATAGGAAATCTCGTATTCTCCTCATGTTTTATATTGGATTCTTTGCGTAAGACAATTAGGTAGTAAAGATGCCTAAGAATAAAAATGATTGCTTTTTGCAATGTGCTTTGTATAGCTGTATTTATAACTTGAACTGAGCAGATGCATCTATAATATATTGAACTTCATGCAACTATGTGAATCCTTTTTACAGTTCTTGTAGTCCTTCTGGGTAACTAGTACTTCTAGAAAGGAAACATACTATAGAAAAAAGTTCCTTTATACAAACACTACACAAAAAGTGGTGAGTGTCAGCACAAAAATGAAGAATGGTTGTTTTGGGGAGCATTCTATTTTAGCAAGAAGACATTAGGCTTAAGTGAGTCTGAAAAAGAAAGCTGATGGCTAATAACATGTTCATTTCTTTTTGAAGCCATAACCTTTAGCCTTGTGGTTAGTGTTTTAGTAGTTTACGCTCATTTCTTCAGAAAGCATCTATAGTAATCACCTACTTCAAGGATTACCAGTATTTTCAGTAGAGATTTTTTTAGCTTTCTGCTATTACTGTAGAATAATGGGAGGTCTTTTGTTCTTAAGGACTGTTGGAGCTGTCATTGCTGCTGATTTAGACGTTAACTAGCAAATATTTGATTTCTTAACATAGACAGTGACATTTTAATTGAATGCACTGCTTCATCTTTCCTTACTTTTTAAAATGGAGCTATTGTTATCAGTATTTGACAGTGAACATAAACGACGTGTGGGAGCATTTAATTTTAGATTGAAGTGCAGATATTCTCATTAAAGTGAAATCTGAAGGTTTCCAACAGTAAACCTCCACTCCCTGCAAGTGTTAGTCCAAATTTTTGACTAGTTAAATATAAAGTTTATCGCATTTTGGGATGAAGTGCTTTTATTACCTTTGCATTATGCCAGTATATTGTCTTAGCTGTGATTTGAATATATTCAAATGATCAACCTAAATTACACTTTTTCCTCCTTGAGAGTTTTTCATGAAGTGTAATCAGTCTAAAAAAAGATCACGGTAATTGTCAGCATCAAATAAAGACTTATTTGGTTCTTAAGTCTTAAATATTAAAATTGCAGGTTAACTTGCAAATTTTTGAGATTTAACAGATCATTTTTGTAAGAATGCACCCATTTCAATTGTTCTTCTGAAGGCGCTTGGAAAAGTGGCTGTGATACAGTGCTATTGATACCCGAGCCCACATAGCAAGAGGCAGGAAGTAGAAAAATACAAACACCAAATATTTTATCATAAATATTGCTACTGAAATAGATCAGTGGATCATTGCCAAATCATCATACTTAACAAAATGTTTCATTTCTATCTGTGAAAAATTTTCACAAATTTTCTGAATTGCTGCAGTCTAAATGAACAACCCCACTGGTTCTTGCCGGATCACTTCAGATTGCCATGTGGATATTAGGATCAGATGCCACTTCTCATTGTATCAGGCTTATTGCATTCTTTTTTTAAAAAAGCTGCATATTTGTTTTTAATTCTTTCTGTAAAGGATGTCCAGTTTTGTAGAGCCTCCAGATATAGTTAAGAAATTGTCGTGGGTGGAAAACTATTGGCCTGATGATGCTCTTCTGGCTAAACCAAAAGTTACCAAGTACTGCCTGATCTGTGTGAAGGACAGCTATACAGATTTCCACATAGATTCTGGAGGAGCATCTGCATGGTACCATGTGCTGAAGGTGAGGATTCATGTTTTTGTGGTATATCTAGTAATTTATTAAATTTTATATCCTAAGACCTTCCTAAAACTCTCTCAAAGATTCAGATCTCTTCTCAGTTTTGTTCCCCAAGATCCAGTTGAGGCTCTGCACATTTCTCATGGCTACACGTGCTGTAAGCAGGCATAGTCTCAGTCATGCTACTTTCTGTCAAGCAAGGAAGCATCTTGGCATGTGAAGTTGTCTATGTTTTCTCACTATGTTAGAATATTAATAGTTCTTTAGTGTCTTTTACGCACACATCTTTTTAAGACTTGGCAGATACTAAGTCCTGCAGTTGCAGGGTAATGGAATTTAATACTGGAGACCTTTTGCAACATCTGCCCCCCAAATCTGAGCAAATGTGATCAGTTAGTGATTTAGTTATTTCAATAGTGCTGTACAAAACTGACTAGCCAATTTTATTTAAATAGTGGTAAAATATGTAATGCTATATATTTATTTAAATATGTGTGTGTATTTTGGTGTGTGTACATTTATCTGTGTCAGTGCAGTGTTGCTTGGTTTGGTTGCTTATTGCTAATTGCATCTTTTCTAATTTAGGGAGAAAAAATATTTTATCTTATCAAACCAGCCCCTGCAAATATTTCTCTTTATGAACGCTGGCAATCGGCAGCAAACCACAGTGAAATGTTTTTTGCAGACCAAGTAGATAAATGTTACAAATGCACAGTTAAACAAGGACAGACCCTCTTCATTCCATCAGGTGAGCAGGCTGTTAAAGGTGAGGTTTTTTTGTTTGTTTTAGAAATACTGAAAGGGCATCTCTAAACTACGGAATTAATGTGTTTTAACCACGTTTCTCTGACAAAATATAAAGTCTAATTCTCAGTAGAAGTCTCATTTCATATGCTTACAAAAAAATTTCAGAACTGTTTTCTGTTTTCTCTCAGTATTTCAGTAGCCTTTAAAAATACAACTAACACAGTGTTCCACTCTTCCTCTAGTTGGATTGAAGTAACTCACAAGTCCTGTCTTTGTATGTCCAAGAATGACATTGGTGCTTTTTGCCACCCAACAGACAGCTCGTGTTGAATTGCTTGCTTGCTGTGACCCCCTCAAAATCCCCTCCACAGTCATTGATTCCCTATGACACTGAAGGACTCTAGGTGCCTGTATGGGTGTGAGCGTGCATTATTGTTTCACATGAGGCTGAAGATGTGGCTGTCACAAATTCATTTCGGTTACTTGGTAGATTCAGACTTTCATTGACGCTTAGAGATGGTGGATTTTTTTTTTTCTCAGCTCCTGGGAGGATCTTCATGCAAACAGGGAGCTGATTAACGAAACAGCATAAACAGCATAGTTTTAGGTGAACTGAGTTCTACTCGTGCCTCTCGTCCCTCACCTTCCTGTGAGCTTGGCCAATTATTTCTCATTTGCATTTCTGTTTCCATCACTCCCCTTTATCTGTTTAAACTGTGATCTTTTTGGCACAGGGACATTTTCCCCCTCTATGTGCCTTTACACAATGCATTACCCGCTGGATTCTTAATGTGAGTTGAGACTTCCAGGCAGCACAAGTAATTATTAACAGCGCCGGCATTTGTGTTTTAGAGGAAGCCTGCAGGAGCGCCATTTTGCTGTGTGAGTGTAGTTTTACACAGAACAATTACACGTCTGAATATTGCTTTGACCGTAAAAAGTGGAAAGTGGGTATTTCTCTCATGACCATATGTGAACCAGATGGTGGAATAAACACGGAAAAATTTATAGAGAGTCACCAATTTAAGTAGATTTGTCTTATGAAAATAAGTATATGGAAAACACCGGCTCCTGGCACTACAGTAAATTCAGTGTCAAGAGATGTCACAGATTTTTATGGTGATGTGAAAGCAGCTATCATTATGTCGCTGCTACTGCTGCAGCTTTTTACAATAAAAAGAAAGTAATGGCACATGAGCAATGTCACCTTCACTTTCTGTTTACTTGATCTTGCCACATTTGAAGGTAGTCTTGGGATGGGAGACAAAGGTACTTAGCGCTTTCCTCGACTAGATCTTTGTTGTGCAAAATAAACAAGGGGGCAACTTCAACCTTGTTTTAAGTGTATGCAGTTGTAGTGCTGAATTGAACTGATGAGCCTCGTTGGTATCTAGGAAGTAAGTTGCTAAATGAGGTGTAAACATCCTGTCATAAAACAATTTTTGTTACTATGAATCCAGTTTTTATTCTCAAGCCTCTTCTTTTTCTCTTTTAGGTTGGATTTATGCAACTCTGACACCTGTAGACTGCCTAGCCTTTGCAGGACATTTTCTACATAGTCTAAGTGTTGAAATGCAGATGAGGTAATCTGTCTCTAAAACCTAAAGTTAGGTTGAGGCTCAGTTTTTAATAAATTAGCCATCCTCTCTCGTAATAATTAGCTGACGTTTGCAGTCATGTTTTTGATGTAGCCCTATTGGGCACTTTTGGAAAGTGTACCCGTGTTCTTCCCCTTCCACTGTGTTCTGCCATGCTGAGGTATTCTTAGACAGTCCTTACACTTACTGCACAGAGCATGGAAGGAGATGTGAGGTGTTCGTGCTGATGTGGCCAAACCCCAAAGGAAGAGCAGTTAAAAACAGTCAGGAGATCTAGCTTAGAACGTGCCATTCACCTTCTGAACAAGTCCTCACCTGCTCAGCTGGCCTCTTTGCCCGGTGTAAGGCTGTAGAAGTAGTTCTTTACTGTTGCTGGACAAAGAGTGCAATAAAACTATCTTACATCTATATCTTACAGTTTCTTACTAGTGTTATTTTATATTGCACTTTTGGTCTGATGCCAGAATACTTGGTAAGCAGCACAAAGAAATGAAGGGCTGCACAATGAACCTCTAAGGTATTTATGAGCAGTGCTTTTCACTGTGCAATGTGCCTATGACCTGCTATGCTCTAAGTTCGTTTTGCTTTGTCTTGTAGGGCATATGAAGTAGAAAGACGACTGAAAATTGTCAGTCTGACCCAGTTTCCAAACTTTGAAACTGCATGTTGGTATATGGGAAAGCATCTACTAGAGACTTTTAAAGGTAAAACTGCATTTTTTTTTGCCTGCCTTGTTTGCTTTAGTCTTGGGGACGTGAAAATAGTTACTCTAAATTTCTGCTGATGTGCCACATAGAAGATGGATAAAGGCTAAAATCATTCTTGTTAGTATTTGAAAATTTTACTTTTAACATATCAGCCAGGAGAAATAGAGCTGGGAAGTTTAGAAAGTGTTTCTTGAAACAGAGTCTGTCTGCCATACTGCTGTGATGTGACAGGACAGAAGCAAATAACGTTGTAACCAACCATCTAGGCTTGGTAGCACAAGTCTTCAGTTGCCTCTCAGGTTTGGATTCGTTCCCTTTTTTCAGCCTGATGTCCTACACACTGTGTCAGCCCAAGGCATGTTGAGTAGTATTTCCTTTTGTCATAATTCTGCTGATTTCGGTGGAAATACGTGGGCCACTCATACATACATGAGTTCGACTTAACATTGGTGACGTGGCCAGCAGGAGTACCAAGAATCAGAGCAAAGTCCTCTGTGAAACTCAGGATCTTCTAAATCAGATTCCTTCATAGCTGATCCAAATGTGCACACACAAACGTTTTTTAAAGATGCAGGCCGGCTTTGCTTTTTGCCTCTATTTCTTGTTACAGAACTTGTCTCTAGAGAAACCTACCAGATTCTTTTATAACAAGTAAAATGCATCTGATTAGTAAGGTTATAGACTCGAGTGTAGCCGGGAAGGGGGCCCCCTTGTGACCAACTCTGAACAAAAATATTAAAAAAGCAGAGAAGTTTAGATAAGCTTGTACTCATAAAGGAGAGGTGGGATAGTTTGCGCAACATAGCCTTTGTTCCCACATATTGATACTTGCTTTGGTTAGGCAGAAAGAAAGAGCCACTGACAGTACCTTTTTATTCCTTCAATCTGCGACATTTGAACACAGAAGCTACTTGAGTACGTGACCAGTAAAGGAACTTAAATGATTTCCAGTGCAGACATAATTTATAGGAACACAGTGTAGAAAGGCCGAGTTGGATTTATGGCACAGTAAATATATACCTTATTACCATCAAGTTAGAACAGGGATTCGTTTGTGGTGATCACCTTTCAAAGAGCACGCTTAAACTTTTTCAAATTAAAGAATTTATGTAAAATAACTGTAGCTCTCAATGTTTGAATGGCACTGTTTTTTCCTCTACTTAGGTTTGCACAAAGCTGGGCAACAGCCTCCTGCTCATTTACTCCAAGGAGCAAAAATTCTCAATGGTGCTTTCAGGTCATGGACTAAAAAACAGGTAGGAAAAGACCGTGCTTTAACATTGCATTCGTTAATATTGTGTTCATTGTCAGTACTGAAATAGAGAACAAACACTAGAACAAATAATATTTCCATAGCAAAACACACAACTCTAGAATCCCAAAGAGAAGAGACCAGGAGGAAGGGGAAGGAGGAAGACAGCTGAGGGTTCATACTGTTACAGGAGGGGTCAGCAGAAAAAAAAGGTGCTATCAGAGTTTTTAAAAAGTCAGTTCTGCACATGACCAAAAGCATACTGAATGAATGTTCTCCATAACCGAACGTTTTCATGTGCCAAAACAATTTGGCAGAGGTAGTCGATGCAAGTGAGACCTAGAATGATGCCTGCATTTTTGTGTGTACAAGGTGCCCAGTTCCTGCAAATCGATGTGTTGACTGAGGCAGGCAATACCTATCGGTTAGAGAGAAGATTTAAAGGGATTTGCAGCTTGAATTTGCTGCTGTAATCATTTCAGCAGAGTTACTCATGCATGTGTTGCTCTAAAATTGTAAGGAATTAGCTGTAAGAGACAGACTGTTCAATCATAAACTGTGAACAGGAAAGCTAACATTGCTGGTTTCCTCAGGTACTGTGGCCTGCCTATCTAGAAAGCAGCAGACCTGCTTTTGCACAGCCATTTGCAGAGACGAAAGAACTTCTCAGTCTGTCTCTGTTCCATCCTTGCCAAGACCAACCCTGACGCATCACTCATAACGTTGAGTTTGGGGATCAAGTCTTGTGAGCTGAACCAGAGTTTTTGCGCGTGGGCCGTCTAATAACAATGGTCGCACTGAAAATCCTTTGATTAATTACTGACCTATAAATTGAAACTGTGATGTAGAGGGGAAGGTTCTGTGTCCCATGAGCAGCATCATGAGGAGCATCGTGAACAGCGTGGTTCTTAGGGGGCAGAAGAGATCTGCTGTGCATAGTCGGTGTAATTGTGTTTGTCTAAGATGCTTCCTTCTCTTGCTGTACCTGTTTTTGCTCAGTTTATGATTTGTGGATATCTATTCTTTTTAATTTCCAATATGGAGATATTGTCTTACAAGAAGTTTAAATGTTAAAGTGATTTGACAGTTTTTAACCTCTTTCTTCAGCCAGTGTAAATCAGAGCAGCACTTTTCAATTTATTGGTAATTCCCTGATTTATTCCAGCTGAAAAACCACTCTGACAGTGTTTCCTCATACCCTAAAAGAGTCAGTGTAGTCAACTGAAGAGCGTGTGATGGGCTGGTAATGAATATGAAATTCATGCTGAAGATAAAATACTTTTCAAACAGCTCTTAGAAAATGATCGTGTCAGGGAGGCTCTTCCAGCAGCAGAGATTTCTGAAATGCAGGTTCTTCCTGCAGTCAGCTGAAAGCTCTGCACATCCTATTCCCATTTCACCAGGATGAGGAGATGGAGAAATCACCAGGGAAAAAAGGTGTAGCTACACTAAAATTTTACTCCTCTTGGATTTTGTGTTTAAAAGAATGTCCTGAAGAATGACAAGAATGACAAGAATTGTAATCAGAAAAATATATACATAGCAGCTACTGTTTCTGTCAGTGCAGGCAGTGCAAAGTGCAGTTATTAAGCAAATATATAAGGATTTTGTGAGTTTAGATTTCACAGTTCAGATAACTTTTCCATTTCTAGATCCCTTGTAAAGGGTTCATGAACAATTGATATGGGTTATGAGTCTATTCCAAGAAGAATATGTGCAGTAGGGTGTTTATATGTAGATCATACCACATAGCAGCAAAAATGTTCTGTGTGGGTCCAAGCTGCTGTTATAAGCATAGCTTATGACAATAACGTGTTAAAATACCGATCATTCAGCATCCTTTTATGAACCGCTGAGTAATGATGTGTTAGATGTGACCATTTCATAATTGCACATATGTATGAGATTAATTTGCTTGCCAGTTTGCTTGCTCCCTTCCCTAAGATGAGCTGTTGCATTTTCAGACACAGCACAGCATAGCTGGAACATCCTAATATGCAACAAGAGCTGTGGAGCTTTAGCATTTTCAGATGTTTTAAGAGGAGATAAGCAGCCAAGTTCACAATGTTGCATGCACAGGTTAGGCCACTTAGGTGGCTGTCCCAGATTTAAATGTAGTTAGGGACTTGGCTGCTGCCTATAGCAAAAAGACAGTGCTTGAGTCTGAACTCAGAACTGTTCCCTGGTTTCCTATGGTGGGGTTTTGGCTGTCGGACTGCTGTGTCACAAAAAAACCAACTGGCATGGAAGCTGTTCTCTCCATGTCACCCTGTTTATTTTTCTACCTGCTAAGCAGATGTTACTGAGTCAAAGGAAGTTGGACTGTGTGGGCAGTTGAGTAACCTTAAACTTTGAATATTATAACACGGCGTGTGAATGCAAATTTTGCTAGTTGTGCCAGGGAGCTCCCAGACCACTCTGCTGACAAGGTGTATGCTTATTATACGCATTGAAGACTCCATCGTGAGACAATCCCTCCTTGCAGAAGTTGATAATAAATTTTGCACAGAATCTCATGTAAGGGGGTAAGCAGAGTGATGTTACAGTTGTGAAAACATGGCAATATCTGAAAAAGGCTATTGACTTTGTAAGTGGTTGTCCTGAGGGAGCAGCAATAACACCCAGGAGAGAGGGAAAGTGTATTTTTTCCTTATTTGGACTTGCAGTGTAGTCAGTGAACTTCCAATTGATTTGAGTACACAGAAGAAATATGTGTGTCACTTAATGAGTCTTTTTGTATTTTTGCAAAAAGCATGCACAGAAACAGTACCTTGGCTTTGTTCTGTTTTAGGCTTTAGCAGAGCATGAGGATGAACTACCAGAAAACTTCAAACCAGCACAACTTATCAAGGATCTTGCCAAAGAAATAAGATTAAGTGAGGTTTGTGCTCTTTTCATAATATTAACTACCTTATGCATTTTTAATACGCTAGGCTATAAAATGGAAGACTTGAAATAAATGAATCTTTTTTTTCACTCTATTCCTAACAGAATTCCTGTGAGATTTAGCAGTAGGGTTACTGCTCAGGACTTGTCTGGGGTTGAGTGGCCACATGTTCTGGGCTCCTCCTGTTCACTCTCTGCCTGCCCTACCTCCTTCCTCCCACGCTTTCTTGTAGCTGGACTGGCCACACTCCCCCTCCATCCTTACTCTGCCTTTCACTTTAGCTAATCCTTGCCCAAAAATACAGTAGAACTCAAAGAACGCTGTTGCCACCCCCTTGATCACGCTCACTCTATAGTGTCTCCTGTTCATCGGTCTTGTCTATGACATTGTTTATTTTCTGAGCTTGAGGCTATCAATCATTGTGTACAGTGTCCCACCAGGTGGCCTAGCTCCTGGCTGGTTTGTAGGCAGAGTTGTTACAGCAAACATGATGATAATTATAAATAAAGAGGTTGTGTGGAGATATCGTCCAATAAGCATGGTATCGCATTGCACTTAGTGCATATGTGTGACAGTGAAGGATGACAATGGCTAGCTCAGTCATGTTTTGGGAAGACATTGTGTTGCATTCCAACCCTTTTCTAACTACATCCTAAGAGTTTGAAATGGAAAACCTTCTCTTCTTTTTATCCTCTTTGATGTAAACTATACATTTTTCTGACGGTCAGAAAGGCAAGTTAAGCAGAAAATAATTTCTTTTTAATTAGTCAGACACTGTTAATGTTAATTGAGCAGCTAGTTTACTGCTTATTTTACCTGGGGGCATGAAACATGATTCTACTTCATTTATCACATCTGAATTAACTTGAAATGGGTTGTGTTCAGACTGATTAGCATTTTAAACAAAAGACTATTGATTTTATACATTTGTTTGTATGGGTGTCTTGAGGAACAAAAATCTACAGCCCAAACTATGCAGGTGTGAACTCTTTGCATATGCTTGTTTAATCTTTGTGTTTTGGACACGCTATGACTTCTCTGTGTATGGAGTATAGCTTATTGTTTGATTGGCTGTTGCCTTCTAGCTGGCAAATGTCATCCTGCAAAGATAATATTTTAAGAAAATCAAATGTTTTTTCTTATACAAATAACAACACTGAGTATTTCTATCCCGCCTGGTGGGAAATAACACTGCATAAGTTTCTGGGGTACCAGATTCTTTTTTTGTAATTTTTAAGAGGTTCTTAAGAGACCTTTCCCCTGCCAAACACTTCCATAATTATGTTATTTTTAAAGCCAGGAGGCACAATTATGATCATTTTGTTCAAATTCCCATATAACGCAGCCACTAGGACTTCCTGAATTTAATTACTTTTTGCAGTTGAGCATATCTTTTATGGAAACATTCTATCTTGGCTTTAAAATTCCCAGTGTTAAAGAAATCACCACAAGTCTCATGCCAGCAGTTAATAACATCACTATTAAAAGGCCATGCCTTGTCTAAGTTCACTTTCAAGCTGTTCTTGCAACCCTTTAGCATCAGTTGTTCTCTAATAGCAATAAAAGCAGCTTGAAAGTATAACCTGTGCTAGGTTAGCTGTCTTTAGAGGAGCCGAAGCAGCCAGCCAGGTGCTGTGAGAAAATACTGGGTCACTTGAGGGTTCCTCTGTAGAGGAGGAACCTTTGTCCACTCCAGGTTCCAGCGTTTTTTCTGCTTTACTGCGCTAGAACAGGACTGGAAAAAAAAAAAAAAAGAGAGAGCCAAAGAAATAGGAATGTCTTTGACAATGGGCTGTTGGTCAGAGCACAAATGGTGCTCTTCCAGGTGATGCGGGGCTGCTGGGTAGCACGGGGCAGAGCTGACCTGTGTGGGAAATGATGTGGATTAGTCACTTTGTAGCAGTGATCTGTGATCACCTCTGGGTGTGTAGAGGGTTCCTGGCAAGTGACAGGGGTGGGATTTTTTTCCAAAAAAAAAAGGTTCAACCTTGGCTTAATGTTATCTGGCTTGAACCTCAGTGGTCTCAGGGTTAGGTTAACACATGCCTAGAACAGACTGGCCTTGTGCTCCAGCTAGATAAGCTATCAGTGTAGCTGTGGCATCGTGGGCACATAGCCAGGCCTCAGAGGGCATGGTGCAGGCCACTCCAAGGCCCTCGCAGCCCCAGGCGCGCTATGGCAGAGCACACGTCTGGAGACACGCTCGGAGCCAGTGGGCCAGCCAGCCACGTGCTGGGTTGGATAGCCGTGAACCAGGCCAGGTATTTCTGACTGCCTCACCCATACCCTACAGTGCAGCCACCTTACGAGCATGTCTTTGTGTAACACAGCAGTGCCCAAAACTAATCTAGCATCAAGGGCGGTCCATTTGACAGTCCTACCTGATGATATAACCTGGTGCCAGTTAAGTTCCTTACAAAGCCGCTGGAGTTTGTCTAGGCCAGACTTGTGCTTGAGCAATTGCAGGGGGAAATTAGTGGTGAGCAGAGAGTGACTGCAACATGTTGTTGCATGTTCTTCGTTCCCTGGCCAGCCTGATGTGTGAATGCACAGTTACCCCTGTACTGAAGGGCGGATGTTTGGGGTTTATTTCCACGTGGAGGGTAGGGTGCTGTTGAATATCTGAGTGTGAGACGGATGGATCTGAACGCCTTCCTGTCTTCTGCTGAATTACAGAATGCTTCTAAAGCCAGCAAAGCAGACACGAGTGCCAACACAAACACCGAGGAGATTTGTCCTGTGGAGAAGGAGGAGGCACCGTCACCCATCCAAGTGACACCTCCACCCCCTGTAGAAAAAGTCCCTAAAAAAAAGACTCCAAAAACTGTGAAAACCCCCAAACAACTTAAGCCATCCAAACCCCCCAAACCTCCCAAGCCGCCTAAACCCCCCAAGCCTCCCAAAACGCCAAAAGTCAAGGGAGAAGGAAAGAAAAAAGGAAAGAAGGCAAAAGAGAGCCCACCGCCAGCCATCCCGAATCTCGACCTGCTGGAGGCACACACAAAGGAGGCTTTGACAAAGATCGAGACACCAAAGAAGGGCAAGGTGGGTCATGTTTTAACCTCTCCCTGTTCTCTCACCAAAGTGGGGATAAAATCTCTCTTTAGGTCTCATGGAAGAAAAAAGGAAGCAGCACGGTGTGCAACCGTGGCCCCACTGAAGTGGGGTTTTGTAACTACTAGCTTGTCAATTTTTTTTTTTTTTTTTTACCTGTTCAATTTGATCTGACTGTGTGCATGGTTACCTCATTAAATATGTGGCCTCCAAGAAGTCTATTGAGTCTGGCAAACTGCTGATAGTTTCCCCTCCAAAACAAGGTGAGGTGAAAATTAAAAGAAATTTTCTTTAAACGGCCTTTTGTTGCCCTTGGTCTATTGTTTTCATACTTCAAGTGTTATTAGAACTCTCGTGTGCGTTTCCGTAGTCAGTTATCAGAGACAAGATGAAGGGATTTTGCTGAGGCATCTTATTCGAGTGAGATTCTCCTCTGGAATGACTGAACGAAGGTAAAACGATAGTTTGTTTCCATTTTTACCCATGTAGGACTTGTGTCATTTTGACTTCTTTTAATTCAATGTGAATTTTGCTGCTGCCTTCGACAGGGCCAGGATTTTGTTGACATACTAAGTAATCTAATGTACCTAGTTTGTTAAGAGGTATCCATACAGCTTTTCTAAAAAGCGCCAGAATTTCCTAGTAGTTTGCGTGCAGTGTGTGAAACCTGTCCGTGGAGCAATAGGCAGGGAAATGAGTGTGTTTTTGTAGTGACTTTGTATGTTTACATGACAAGGAGAAATGCATTTTCTGCATTTCTGAAGCAGCAATATTTGATTGACTCTCATATTTTGGGTCAAAAAGAATGAATCAGAAGAGCAGTTTTCAGAAAATGTCATGCTATATTATGCATAAAGCAGATGTATTTTTGTAAAATGCTGGTAACATGCCAGTGCTCCTTCCTCATTAACAGTACACGCTGACTTTTTTTTCCCCAGGCCGCAAAGAATGTTTTAAGTGTTCCCAATAAGGAAGCTGCCAGCAAGCAGAATGAGGTGGAGAAGTTTGAAATTCGAGAGCAGAATAAAAGCAAAACAGAAGCCAAATGGAAATATAAGGTAAAGTCTCCTATTAAATTCTACTCCTAATTCTGCAGTGTTCATAGGTCTTGCTAAGCAGAAAGTACAATCCACCGATTTTCAGCTCCCAAAGAAAAAATTCTGAGCAGAAAATAATCAAATACTTGTTGATAAAGGAGGTGTGGCTTTTTTTCTTCTTCAAAAGCATGTGCAGAACTGTCCATCCTCATCCTTGATGAAGCCAGTGGCAGCAGAGTTAGGAATGAGATTTTTTTTTTTAGTGCTAATCTGTTTTGTAGTCCTTCTTCTAACCTAGTTACACTACTTAAAATATGGAGTAGTTCCAGAGAAATCAATAAATAATGGTAGTGTAAGAATAGAGTTAGTGAAATCTGAATCATGGCATATGAATTGAAAGCTTGCCTCCCTGGAGAGCTAACGTAAGGTTAGTAAAATTCGTCTCTGGAATGAAACAGTTTTCCTCCAAGCCCCATTTAAAACAAGGTGACACTTAAGAAATAGATGCTGCCTGGATTTTGCCTATTTTGTGAACTTGTTATGACAAAAGGGAAAACAAATTACCTAAACCAGAACAAAACACATGCTTCTTTTTGTGGGGAAAGCTAATGAGAATGTGACTTCCTCTCCTCAACAGAGGTCTAAATTTTTTATAATAAGAACAGTCCCAGTTAATGTGATTAGATCAATATGTGCCAATTAATACCCCAGCCAATACAGCTTAGGAAAGTATTAGGGCAATGCTTAAAAAATAATCAAAGACTTCCTTTGCACTGAATGACTTTGGTAATAAATTGTTAAATTTATAATTCAAGCTCTTCTGAAAGTGTGAAAGAAGCGTAAGTACAGTCACATTGCAAGATCTCAGGCACAGTGCTTGATTTTGTCCTTAGCCGCATGGGCATGGTGTTGGTCAGCAGTGTACTTACCCTGTTCTCTGATTCACTCAAATGCTTGTTTAGTGTTTTACCTAAGTCTGTACCAATCTAAGAGAGCAGCACTTAAATTTGGCATCAGGTACTGCTTAAACTGATGCTGAAGTGCTTCTTGAATGGCGACAAGTCTGTGAATTGGAACCCATGTGGTCTAAGGTTATAAACCTCTATCTCAATTACTTACCCACATTTGGAGGGTACATTTTTCTCTGTATGTAGACTAATAGATTCTCTGTATGCCAACCACTTAGAAGTAAGTGCTTGAGGTCACACAGGAATCTGAAATACTAACAATTCATTTGGCTAATTTTATTGTATTCTTTTGGGGGTTTTTTTGCCTTTCAGAACAGTAAACCTGATTCACTACTAAAAATGGAAGAGGAACACAAATTGGAAAAGACACCTTTATCGGGAAATAAAGACAATAAATTTACATTCTCTTTCTCTAATAAGAAGTTACTTGGGTAAGCAAAAATATGGCAATACACATCAACTAAAAAAGCAGATTAAAAAGTCTTGTGATTATCTTTTTTTTTTTTTAGACAAGGAGATGAAAATCTACCTTTCTGGTCAAAGTAAAAAGTGTACTTATCAAGAAAGTTATTGCCTCTAGAACTTGATTTAACCTAGAATCCAACTTTGTTGGCCATAATAGCAAAGACTTATCTTTGAGGCTAGGAGTTTGCTTGAGAATAATGCCTTCAGTATTCAGGCTGCATCTCACTTTTTGAAATTTGGGTTCTTTTTAGTTTGAGTTTTCCTATTTTATATTAATTCTTTGTGTGTGTGCACGTGGGTGTGTGGATGTATGTGTGCATGTGTGCAGATATTATTCAGGGAACATTTTTAAGAAACTGTCAAATGACGACTGCATGCCAGAATTCCATGTTGTGTGTGCATTACATGTATCATGTTATACTTCGAGACAGCTTTAAATAAGATGTATAAAGAGTATTGTTTCTGATTTGTAGCATTTGTTTTTTTGCAGTTCCAAGGGAGTCAAAACCCAACTGAACACTGGTGTGTTTGGGTCACTGCAGAATTTTAAAGATGATAAAGCAAAACCTGTACGAGATGAGTATGAATATGTGTCAGATGATGGCGAACTAAAAATCGATGAGTTTCCGATCAGAAGAAAGAAAAACACTACAAAAAGAGAACTGCCCTGTAAGAATATTTCCTATTTTATCTGTATCTGCACGACTAAGTCACGTGTTAGTTGTCCAAAGCTAATTTTTATACTATGTGATACACACTAAAGGAAATCATGTTTTACTTGTCAGTCAAATGTAAGTGTATTTAGGTTGCTTCCGAAGTTGCAGCTTAGGAGCACTGTTTTTTGAGGAGAAAGGGGCATCCTTCCATTACTCTGAATTTTATTTTTCCAGTTTTATCGGATAAAAAAGACACTCTGCAGCACACTCCTGTGAAGAAGCCAAAGGTGGAGTCGATATCATATAAGGTATGGTTATTAGTTTACCTATCATAAGCAAGCACCCATGATAAGCCTCTAACAATATGTGGGGCCTTATCTGAAAAGTGCCTGGCAAATGCTGTCCATGATTACAGAATCGCAGAATGGCTGAGGTTGGAAGGGACCTCTGGAGATCATCTAGTCCGACCTCCCGGTTCAAGCAGGGTCACCTAAAGCACGTTGCCCAGGATCGTGTCCAGACAGCTTTTGACTGTCTCCAACGAAGGAGACTCCATGACCTCCCTGGGCAACCTGTTCCAGGGCTTTGTCACCCTCACAGCCAAAGTTTTTGCTCATGTTCAGATGGAGCTTCCTGTGTTTCAGTTTGTGCCCACTGCATCTTGTCCTATAGTTGGCACCACTGAGAAGAGACTGGCCTCATCCTCTTGACACTTTCCCTTCAGATACTTATACACATTGATAAGATCCCCCCTCAGTCTTCTCCAGGAATCTGCTGAGTATTGCTTAATGGCAGGAGTGCAGTATGCCTCAGTGTAATCACCAGTGAATTTCATTCTGCCTAAATAAGGTGACAGTGTGCTACTGTAAATGCCAGTAGCAAAGACCTCTTACAGGCTGTTGTCACATCCTCTCCTTCATTCTGCAGTTGCAGCCTGCCCAGAACAGATAGCATTCAAATACTGCAACAGCTAAACGTAATTTTGTACTGTTCCTTGAACTGCTTGTACACGATCAAGCCTGGTGGGACGTACGTGCAGGGACCGTGACAGTTGTACAACAACACAACAGGAGCAAACTATAAGAATGGATGGGAAAGGTCAGAAGGAGATTTCTGTCATTCCTGCCTTAGTGTTACATTGCTGACAGGCACAGGGGTCTCTCCCAGGCCATGATCCCAATCTGTGTCTGTCCCCCACCTTTCCATGTGCCTTCAACACTGATATTAAAAATGTACATTTTCATGTTTGACAGAGCAATACTAATAAAACTGAAGTCGTGTTATTTGGTGTTTCATGTTACTGGAAGTCCTTAAGACCTGTTATGTAGCAATTAAAGGTTTTATGTGCTAGTGCTTAGCAGAGTCCTGCTCTGCCTGTTATGGGCTCACATCCAGAATGCCCTTGATTCAGCGTGATGCTTACACATGTCCCTTACTTAAAGCACTGGAAAAGCCTTTGCAGTGTTACTGTGCCTGTCAGTAGCTTACCTCCAAGAAGCTTAAAAGCAAAGGCTTAATTTTGCTCTTAGCTCTTATTTGCATTAGCATTGAAACTTAGTACTGGAAATTAAACAACATGCTAAAATGTGTTGCCCAGCTGTGGTTAATATAAATCCATGTTGTAGTATCTGAATTGGTCATAAAAAGCTAAATACATTGTTAATATAGAACTGCAGGTGCCCAAAATGTTTGGCCCTAAGAGCTAAGGAATCTTTGTCATCCTGGTTTGGCTCAGGTATATTCAAGAGCACGAGCAGAGCTGCTTGCTTCAGTCAGTAGTTAAAGTCTGGAGAAGAGTGGAAAGGGAGCAGTGCAAAACATACCGATACCCCTTTGCACAGAGGTTTAAGGAAGGAGACCAGTTCCTGCACTGAGCAGTAATTGGCAGTATAAGCAATAATGGCTAGGATTTTGTAAGCCAAAAAGCAGGGCAGAAATGGGGAAAAAATTGTTGTGCCATACTTTAGACTACAGTGCATAGAGATACCAGCTCCAGGGAGACAGTCAGATGAAGCTAGCTTCAGTTTTTTCACATGTTTCTGTTTATATGCGTCTATCTCGTTCCTCTGTCAGATGTTCCTGTTCTCTTGCAGCAGGAGTGGTGATCTGTGTTCAAGCTGGCTAAGTTAATAGCCTGGCAAGATGCAGACCTGTGCTCTGATGCATATCTGGGCTGACAGAAATATGGCCACACATTCACTTCTTTTGCTACCGTGGTCATGATCTCAAGAGCAGGAGGAGTGCCCGGGGAGCAAGTATAACACCTGGAAACACCACTGTTGGCAGTGGTTTGATCCTGTGCAAAGAATCAGATCTTAAAGCTGCTTCTCCTTGGTTGAAGGGGGCCAGGAAAACCTGCTGTGCCTACAGGCTGCAAGGAAACTGATTTCTACTGTGTACCTGATTGTCTTTTTTTTTTTTTCTTTTCTTTTCCCCCTCCTTTTTTTTTAAAGTAAGAACAGATTAAGGAGGCCAGCCCTGTGTCTATGGGAGAATAATAGACTGCAAAAATTATTGTGTTATTTTGGCTAACTTAGTCAATTTTCCTTTTTTGACCCTTTTCCTTGCTTTTGCAGAGTGATGACTCATCCGATGAAGATTTGCTTCACATTGACACAGAGGCAAAGCCAGGGCGTAATTCCAAAGTAAAGAAAGAGAGTGGAAGTTCAGTAGGAATTCTAGATCTTTTGCAGGCAAGCAAGGAAGTTGGGGGTTTAGAGTATAACACCAACAGGTATGCACAAAGGAATATTTTTTCCTCCTACCTGTAAATAACAATTGCTCTTTTATGGGTAGAGGGGGGCGGGGTGCATGCGCGCATGTGTGAGTGAGAGACAGAATGAATTTTGCAGCTTAGTAACTGCTCTTTCTTCAGTAAGCAGATTTTTTCCTTTGTCCTGTGATGTGGAGGGAAAGGTGCTGGTAGTATAATTTAATAAATAAATTTCCCGTCTGTAAATGCTAAACATCCATTTTAGCAATGATACTATAATAGAGGAATCATTCGAAAGGAAGAGATAGTTCAGTGAATGCAGCTTGAAGGCATGAATAACATATGTATTAATGACTAGCATTCCTTCCATAAGGCATTGTAAGGTGCCACATAGTTCCCTGATTATTGACTGTTTGAAAGAAGAAAATAGGAAACCATCAATCCTCTCTCACATCCATGTTCATCATTCTTTGCCCCACCAAAACACATGGCTTGAAAAAACAATCTCTCTTATGGGTACTTCCATACCTAAAATGGAAGCACTTGCCTGGGGCATGGTTGTGTTTCATATGGGACTACTGCAGATGGACACTGGAGCGACACTGGATGCTCTGGAATCTGGTTAATAAGGTACAACACTAGGTCATTTACTAATCAAAACAGCTGAGAGCAATGAGCAGTGAAAAGAAATGCTTTAATTGCAACATTTGTTTTCTAGATTCAAATGATGCAATTCAGTATGAAACAAAGACTTTGTTTGGTCCTATCTCAAAACAAATGTATGAGTTTACTGCCTCCATTCTTTATAGGCCAAGTCTGATTTTCAGCTACAGGTAAAGGTAATAGAAGTGTGTGTGTCATTCAAAAGAAATCGATGGGACTCTTTGCATATGGAAATGTCTTGCTTAACTCAGACCTTGGGAACAAAGCCCAGGGAAGAATTTTTGGGAACACCAACTGCATTTATGACTAATATGCACAGAATGGCACAGCAGGTGTGAACTGTCACATTCTATGCCCTGTGCTCCAAGGCAGTCCACTGACTAAGTACATCTTTGCTGCTATGCTTTTAAATGGGTGATTTGTCCCCCATCCATAGAAAAACAGAGGAATTCACGTAAGGAGTCTCCACTGCTTCACAGGGGACTACAGGCTTGATGCTTGTGCTGTGAATAAGTCGTTGACACTGAAAGGACCCTGTTTCTAGCCTCTAAACATGCCCGTCGTGCAAATAAAGTTGTTGAGCTGGGTGGTGATGTGGGAAACGCTGTGAAACGCAGCAGAGGCCATTCTCATTGGGCACTTAAATTATCCAGTTCCACCTGCCTCTACTCTGCCTCCGTTTGAAAACCGCCTTCACCAAGCAGGCGGCGCATGTTGATTCTCCAGGCTGGTTGCTTGAAGCAGCATTTATCCTACTCATGGTTCATATAGCAGAGGTTGCGTGGTAGCAAGCAGTCTCTCACGCTATTTTGTACATGCAAAGCCGCAAAACCAATCTGCTTTGAATGGCAAAAACAAATCTTATATTCAGCAGTTGCTGGGATGCTGCATGAGCATCTTTTTCCTCTCTCCCTTCTCCAGGCCTGCCTTTGTTAACACCAAGGCGCAGATCCTGGGCAAGGACTATGGGAGCGGCTCTAAGAGTTGAGAACCGCACTGAAACGATAGAGATTAATGCTATCCTTTTCACCCATACTATGGCCTAGCTAGGTGTTGCGGTGTGCGTGACCCAGAAAAAGTGCAGCTTGCAGATTTGAAAGGACCTCTTCAAGTGAAATGAGCAGTTCCCTTTGGAGAGTCAGAGAGGAAGATGTTATCTAAACCTGGGAAAGATTGGAAGTTAAAAGCCGAAACTAAGAATTCCAAGAGATATTCTGCATATCAAAAGGGAAACATATGGAATAAGTTACCAAGGGAAGCCATAGAAGCAAATTGTATCAGAGTGTTTTTTTTTTTTTTAAAAAAAAAAGGGAAGGAGGGTTATTTTACGTTGTGAGAGAAGATGGAATTTGTTCAAGGCTGCAATGTGGTGACAGAGCTACAGAGAAATCCAAAGGAGGGAGTGTTGTCGAACTAGAAGATGCTTCAGCCTTCCTCACTGTATCCGGCAGTTGTGTCTTTCATGATGTACATAGTAGCAGGAGATTAAATCATACCATAAAGACTGTGCTAATGCAGGGTACATCAGCTGTGAAGTACCGGGCAGCTCCGTGAAAGACAGGCTTGCCTTTGTGCATCAACATTTAGAGTTTATAACTTTTTGCAGCACAGCGATGGGGAACCTCATCTCTGTGTTGAACGGAGTTGTACGTGCAGTCTCCTGTAAGAGTTTTCTGTCCGTTCCTAATGCGCTCCCATCGTACTCATCTCAGTAGCATATCACACAGCAGGGCTACAGGTGAAAAAATGCCGATGATTTTAAAATACAGTAAGTAACATAGTAACTACATGTCCTTAGAAGGCTCATCATGACAAAGCTGGTATTTCTATAGAAGAGAACTAGTCTTGGTTTAGTGCTATTTTTCCTCCGTTACTGCATTCCCTCTAGCAAGTCATTCTTCAAAACGGCCTCCACCTCTGTATTGCAGAGGGTATGGGGAGAGGTACCAGTGTCTGCAGCTCCCAGGAAATGTAGTATTTTTCAGTGTCTGGGCCCAAATAGGGCTGTGGTTCTCGATTTTCCTGATCTCTTGAGATCTGGCCTCGTCTCTGCCTCTGCCCTTCAAAAACCACTGAAATACTGCGTTGGCGTTTGTTATCTATTTGACTCTTCCTGTGAATTCCTTTTCCATTCCACATAATGGTGCATAAGGGAACCAGCATTTATGTCAAATTTACACTTACATTTCAGCAGGTAGTTAGACATTTCAGCAGGTAGCTAGATGTATCTAACTGTGGGAATAAAGCTGGTTGTCTAATACAACTCCTCTACATGAAGCACAGTATAAAAGAAGGAAATCTGTCAGCCATTTTAAGAATTAAAGAAATCTGCTTTGGCCGTGTTTACACTACTAAGCATTTGATGTATAGTGGCTGTGATGTGCAGAAATATAGAGGTAAGCGGAAAATACAGGTTAAAGAAACGGTTCTCAAAGATTCTCTTTCTAGCCTGGGTGGTGTCTTTCGCCGCCTGCAATGGGTTAAAACTGCCATTCAGTAATGGAGTAGGATTCAGCCCTTTCATTTTTCCTCTCTGCACTTTGGGCTTTGTATCCAGCGTATTGGTGGACTTTGTGGTTTTTGAAATCAAAGTTGCAAAGGCAGTCACATAACTAAACTCTGCCTGAATTACTACACTGTGTGTGGTAGTTTAGTGGGAACGTGTCGTATCAGTTTTTGGCTCTTGTATAAACAATTAGGTTTTGGCAGTGTGTGTTGCAGCTTGACTGGAAAAAACTCCCAATAAATGAAATTACCGTGTTTCATTTCATAATTACACCAGGCTTTTTAAATGGTCTTAACGTGCTTTAAAAAAAAAAAAAGGAAGAAACATGATATGCAAACATACTGTGTCACACCATAATGCTGATGTGAGCCTGCCTGACTCTCTGTTGTATATTAACAATTTCCATCTTTTTCTAGCTTGTTTTGCTACTTGGAAGGCAGATAAAGAGTAGCTAGACATACATATTTATATACATATGAACATATATCTTGGATGCTCAATGTAGCCGTACCATGAGTCGGTCTATGCAGAATGTGCTCCGCTCGCATGCTGATCTGTGCAGCTGAGAGCCAGCTCTGAAGTGGGAGGCATGGAGCCATGTCACACCAGTCCCGAAACTGCTAAGCCCCAGTAGCAATTGAGAAAGCAAACCGCAGTTTGTGCTACCACATCTGAATTGTGTGAAGCTTTATTCCATAAAATATTAGCTTGTCAGTCACAGCTGTCTGAAACAAATCTGCTGATGACATTTTCTAGATTGCTCTGGAGAATCACATGTTCCCGCACTTGTGTCAGCTGTAGCCATGGGGAGCAGAGAAGAGAAAGGTCCTGCAGAAAGGCTGCTGTAAATGTGCAAGCACCCTGAAAAAATTGAAATGGAAAATGGAAAAAAGGCTGAGGGGACTAGTGGGCACAGGATCTTCAACTGAGCAAAATTATTTTCTGTTTTTAGGGCTGATTCAAGAAGGGGAGGAAATGTTTTTGTACTTGAAATTATTTTAGTTCTATGGTTTTATACATTAGTCACTTCTCTGAAATATTAGCAAGTCATTTCTGTCTCTGCCCCACTTCTCTGTGGTTGATTACATGTTGCCTCAGGTGGGTTGAGGGGAAATGCAGAAAGGAGAGAGAAATATTGTCAAATAGAGAGAAAGGTGATTTATTGCCTTCCCCTCGCATGCACTAGTGTTTTTCAATAGTTTTTGCTTGTAGAATTCTAGAATAATTGCAATTGGAAGGGACCTTGGGAAGTCATCTAGTGCAGCCTGCTGCTCACAGCGCAGCCAGCTGCAAAGCCTGGTTGCTCAGGACATTGCCCAACTTGAGTTTTAAATGTATCCGGGGATGGCGATTTTACAGCCGCTCTGGGGGAGTTGTTCCAGGGTTTGGCCACCCTCATTATGGACCTTTTCTTTCTTGTGTCTAGTTGGAATTTCCTCTGCTGCAACTTGTGACCATTGCTTCTCATCCTTTCGCTGTGCATCTCCGAGAAGGGTCTGGCTCTATCTTCTCTGTAACCCTCATGGGATGGTTCTTATTTCAAGTTAGTTCTTATTTCCGTTTAGAAAATGTTAAGTAGCTTCTCTGACTCTCCCTTGCCCTTACCTTTTTTTTTTTTTCCTAATTTTAGGATGAGCTCGGGTGGCTTATACAGAGGTGAGGTGAACCATTAGTGAGCTTGCTCTCCCTCATCTCGCCTTTGCCCTTCAGAACCACTGGCCACTGTGTAGGCAGCATGGCAAATGCAGAAGAGGCTAGCCCTCAGTGAATCATATTCTGCTGAAATTAATAAATTAGATTTATAAATATGAAGAAATAGGTGAAAGGTTCACTAGTGCCAGATCATCATCTTCCTTTCATAAGCAAAGTAATGCTGAACCCTCAAGACAGCTGGCAGTAGTAGAGCTGATTGTAAAAAGAGAGGCATTGGCTCCCTGCACTATATCCTCTTCTAGCTTTAAGCTTTTGGGATAATTCCTGTACCCAGACAGTGCAGGGTCCAGCCTCAGCTGCACCCACTTGAAAGGCTTTTAAAGTCATTATTGTAACTCACAGATAGTTTACTTTCAGACTTTTTTTTTTTAACATCACTTGAGCTACAGAAAGAGGATATGGCCTTGCAGAGCTTAAAAATTGCTTCCTGTTTCTTTTTGAACTTTTCTTTAGCTTAGAAGGCAGAGCTCAAATACTTACGGAAGCACACGCAAGCACATGCTCTAATGAGAAACACTGCACCCGTGTGCAGCTCTGTCTCTTTAAGACATTTTACCCACACCTTCAGGTTGTGGTTTGACTCTTGGAACCATTGGATTTGATCATATTCCACAATTTATTTGTTAAAGCTTGTGTCGCTTAAGGCAGTTCCTTTCTGATTTTCCCATTTAGTGGTCAGTTTTTGATGGTCTGTTTGCACTGTTTTGGGAGTCCAGCTTTTGCAAAAACTATTGGGGAAAAAAAGGAGAAGAAAATATGTTAATTTCTTATAGATGGTGCAAAATATGCGTTTGACAGGGAGAAGGCTAAGGCATGATAATGAGAGGATTAAAATATCGCTTCACTAAATAAGTGTTTTGATGTTCTTTTATTCCTTGAGTTGCTAGCTGCTAACATTGGCCTAACTCATTTTCAGGATTATTTACAAATGCAATTAGTGCCCAGAAACTCCCTTTATGTCTTGTACATTACTCTATCCAGAGTCCTGTAATGGTTTAAAATGGACTAAATTAAAATCAAATAAGAGAAAGTGATGTGGTACTGCTAATTTATTTGGAAATGCTATATGTTAGCAGTCTCTATTGCATAACTATTTTAAAAAATCATTATCCCTGCAGACTTTTTTTGCATTTCACTGTTTGCTCAAACTCCAAAGCATTGGAAGTACTTGATGGCATGTTTTGCCTTTTGCAGAATTATGGTATTCTGTGAAGAGATTAACGTTCTTCCATATTGTGGGGAGCGTGTTTTCCCATCTTGCTAAGCGTATATGACAGTCAGGGTTTACACATCCTTTGACCTCAGCCTACTCTAGCAGAATATATTATTTTCTGCAGTAGATGCAAACACAAAAATGCCAGTTGCCAAAAGGCAATCTCCATGTAAGCAAGGTTTTCACCCACCTTGTAGTCCTCCCATCCAGGCCATATCTCATGAGTCTGGCTTCAAGGATGCTATGGGAGATTGCTTTGAATATCTCAATAAAATCAGGGTAAACAATATCCACCGCTCTGCCTTCGTCTGCTGAGGTAGTCATTTCACCACAGGAGGCAGAGAGGTTCATAGGGCGTGATTTGTCCTTAGTTAATCCATGCTGACTGTTCCCAGTTACCTTCTTGTCCTTCATTTCCCTAGAAATTGAGTATTTGCTCTCTTTGCTATCTAGAAGGTGGGCTTGAAATTTGGCTTCTTCTAGTCTTATGAACATCTTCTACTCACCGTGACCTTTCAGAGATGATAGAGAGTGGCTTTGTAGTGATGTTGGAGTCCTCAGCACCCTGGGATGTATCCTGTCCAGTCCCACAGACCTATGCGTGTCCACCTTGTTTAAGTGGACCCTAGTTCAATCTTCCTCTGTATTGGGTAGTATTTGTCTCCTCAGGCTCTGCTGCTAGGCACAGAGACATAGGAGACCTGAGAGCAGATCTTGTCAGGAAAGGGGGAAGCAGAGAAGATACCAAGCATCTCTGCCTTTCCTATGTCTTTTGTCACAAGGTCACCTGTCCCATTCAGCAGTCCCATGTTATTCTGAGTCTTCAACTTGCTGCTGATATGAAGCCCTTCTTGTTGCTTTTCACATTCTTTGACATCGTCAGCTCCAGCTCTGGCTTTCCTAATTACATCCCTGCATGCCCTGGTACTCTGTTTTTCTCTCAGGTCGTTTGTTTCTGCTTTCACCACTCAAAAGCTTCCTTTTTTTGCTTTTGAGCTCAATCAAGAGTTCCTTGTTCAGACAAGTTGGCTTTCTGCCATGCCTCAGCTTCCTGCACATGAGGATGATCTGTTCTGGTGCCCTCAGCAGGTTGCCTGTAATGATCAACAAGTTCTCCCGGGCCTGTCTGCCCTTCAGAGCAGCCTCCCATGGGATCCCACCTATCGGTGCCCTGAACAAGCTGATGTTCGCTCTCCTGAAGTCCAGGGTTGTTATTCTGCTACCTGCCCTTCTTGCCTCCCTCAGGATCTTAAACTTCACCATCTCATGGTCCCTGCAACCAAGGTTGCCACCATCTATCACGTCCCTGATCAGTTCTTCCTTATCTGTGAGCAGCATATCCAGCCAGGCATCTCCTATAATCAGCCAATCCTGCATTCACATCAGAAAATCCTCCCAATGTATGGAAGAAATCTCATTAATTTTGCTTGTGCCCAACCATGCTGCCTTTCCAGCAGATCTCAGGGTTGTGAAAGTCCCCAGTGAGAACTGTGGCCTGTGATCATCAGGTTTCTTCCAGTTGTTCAAATAATTCCTCTAGTTGCTTGGCAGTGCGTAGCAGAAGCCCATTGTAACGTTCCCCTCCAGGGCTGGCCCATGAGCTCTTTATAGGACTTGCTTGTTGTTTGTTTCATGGCAAAGCTTAATTCACTGAAGCCATTTATTTGCAAAGAGTGCAACCTCCTTTCCTCCAGTCTCTACCCACCCATTACAGCACTCTGGCTGTGTGAGCTATCCCACCTCGTATGTGTAATCATGGTGACATCATTGCTCTGCAACTGGACTTCTCATTCTCCTGTTTGTTTCTCATGCTGCTTGCATTGCTGGACAGGCACTTGAGCTGGGCCCCACAGTTGCATCACTTTCTCAAGGGGCATGTGAGAGCCTGTCCACTGTGGTCACCTGTGAGTGGTTCCCTCTAGCCACCATTCCCTGCATTTCTTCAGGCTTTGGTTTCATGTGTGGTCATATGAAAGAAAGGATGGAGAAATCTGAAATGAGTTTGGAAAGGTGTTGGTCAAAAGCAAAGCTCTCAGCTTTCAGGTCAGTGAAAGTAACCCAGTTTCCACCAACTGTAGCTACATTACAGGAAGATGAGAGGTTTGGGGGATTTGTGTAAGGGGGTGGGAGACATACCTTCATAGATGGGTAGTAGAAACTCTGCACTGTGGAGAATGCTGTTGTGAACTTTGGAAAGGGTTGGTTACCTGACCTCTGTTCTCATAAACTAGTGACACAACCTCCAAAGAGCAGCGCATTACATGCTGTCAAGTGACAGACAGCTTCCTGACTTCTGGAGCGTAACCTGAGATATGATGTGCTGTGTGTGATGATGCTGTTAACATAAAAATAACTGGTGTCAGATGTGGCATGCCCAGCCATTCAAAGGGCAGTAATCAGGAAATCTGTTCTAGCAGTGCTGTGCAGTGAAAAGAGTCAACTGTTTGTGAGGTGTTTGTGTTTTTCTGGAATAGCTAATAGCTCTTCTATTTCTCCATGTTTTCCTACAGTCAACCACCTGCCTCACCCAGCACGCAAGAAGCAATCCAGGGGATGCTATCGATGGCAAATCTCCAGTCGTCAGACTCCTGCCTCCAGACATCGTGGGGTACCAATCAAGCAAAGAATAACTCCATCTCCACACAAAACTCCAAAAAAACAGGCAGTGGTAGCAACAGAAATGCAGGCAAACGGTTACTAAAGAAAAGCACGAAAAACAGTGTTGACATTGAAGATTATGATGAAGATCAGGACCACTTAGATGCTTGTTTTAAAGATTCAGATTATGGTAAGCACAAAGCAAGCAGTCTGTGTGTGTGTGCCCAGGTATGCATATTCATATTTTGCATGTTTGTGAATCCTCCCCCACATTTCTCATGGTACATTTTTTCACTTTTTTATGGTCAGTCACAGTGAAATCAGCTGGGTGTTTTGGTAAGGAAAAGTGCAAACAGCAAGAGGTCGTCTCTGCAAAATTAAGCAAACACTGTATAATGGGTAGATTGACTACAGAGCTGGCGATGATATGGCCATCCAGGTAGGATGTATTTGGGGCAGAAGCCCGCTGATGCCACAGCAGTCTGCCAGGGAGCATAGGAAGCTGTCCCAGAAATGTGTGCCAGGCCACAGTACGTATAATACGAATGTTCTTGCCTGCACAATAGCAGACATGATGAGAAACTGAATGTGTACTTGGAAAAGGGATCCAGTGGTATTTTGAGTGTTGACAGAGAATGCCAGCATCTGAAGCAGAAATGGGCAAAAAGCCAGTTTGCACCAGTTATATCAGGTCCATCATCGTCATCTGCAGGAGCAGTTTTGAACAGTATAAAAAATGAACAAATGAAAAAAGTAATAATGTGAAGATTAATAGGACCTGGAGAGCCTAGAGTCCCAAAGAGGGCAAGAAGTGGGTAGAAGTTTATGCTATGTCAGTGTATGTGTTTGTTAAATGGCAGGCATGGCCATCAGAAATAATCTGTTACATCCGGAAAAGTGTCATGTGTTTTCACTCTCTCAGACATCAAGACAAAACGGTGATGCTGTGACACTGCAGAAGGCACCCTAGGTGCCCTGTGTATGCTGGAATGCAGCAGTAGCACTGGAAGGTGCTTTGGAGAAAGGGCAGCTCCATGAATGATTTTGCAGAGGTGTAAGTTTATAGACAAGTGCCACACATGGACAGGGCAGTGCTCTACTGAGGGGCATTTTTGGTCATTATGTATCTTTGCTGCCACTGAATGAGGAGTCCTTATTTTGAGTGGGCTTGTTTTCCAACAGCTCTGCTTGCGCCACATCTGATCAGCAGATTCCAGTGTCAGTGGCCAAATGCCACAGTAATGGTAAAATCACCTAGTGATGTAACAAGTGGCAACTGGCAAGAAAATCAAGCTCATGCAATACAAACTTGACAGTAAAGGCTGTGATAAAATTTAGACAGATCAGGTGGTGTTTTTCCCAGAGGCCTCTAAAGGGTCCTTCGGTAGAAGGGTTCAGGTCCATCTCTTGGACACTCATAAACCAAGGAGAACAGTTTGCAAGGTCTGCATAAACAGCACACCTCATTTCTCTCTACCTGCCTAACTATGCTGGAGTCATAAGGGCCAGGAAGATACGGTGCTGAATGAAGCAGTTGGCTTCTCTAGCACTGTGAACCTGATGGGCTCCCCTCACATGGGGCAGGCTCGCAGTGAAGGTTGTTTCGTGCTCTTAGGAGGGGACAAGGGGATATGGAGGTGAAGGAAGCTGCCCTGGTCTGCCCTGTGCATGAAGGCAACCATGAGTTGTTAAAGTGTGAGTTGCTACTTGCTGATATTACCCCACAATGAGGATAGGATTCAGACAGTCATGCATATGGCCAAGCCCTACAGGCACATAAGAAAGCAGAAAGGAAGTGTGGGAGCTAAAGTATGTTGTGATCTCTCCTGTGTCTCTCTTCCCTATGATGGTTGTCCATGCCATGTAATATGAAAAGGCCATACTTGTGCTGATTCATAAGAATGACCAGTGCTACTGTGATAGATATTTATGGCAGATCACACATATCTTGGTCAAGTTGTGGATGGGAGTGTGTAGGAGGTCTGTAGGATCTTTAGGAGCGTATCAAGTAATCAGAGTATTGGTCTGCAAACTGTGCTACTACTGGACCCAATATAATACTGCATGTGCTAGAAGGGCTCCTGTTAAAATTGCAGTTAGGTTTTCTTGCAGCTGGGAAAAGCTGAATCCACAGCTACACAACAGATCTGAGACATGGCACTGTCCTGCCCTAATGTCCATTCTGCATGGCCCAAAGTACAGTCCCTTTCCAAAGAGGTGGCTGTGAAGGCATAGAGTGGCTCACTTCTTCCAGAACTTTTGAAGAAAGGGTTAATCTCCTCCTAGCAGCAGGAGTACCTACACACCTGCATGTGTTTCTTTAACATCTTGTCATGCAAGGGGTCCTGAGATTTGCACAGAACTGTCTTCGATATCAGTAGCTTGGGATAAAGGCTCCTAGCATGCCACTGTGCTGCCACTCCATAAGCAAGAGGAAGACTGATGGCTCCTGTCTGTGTAGTTGCACTGTGTAACCTAAAAGTAGCTTGGGTATCCCAAAAGTAGCTAATCACAGTTTAATGACAGCAGCTCCTAAATACTGTCTGTGTATGAGAACAAGAGAACGTCCCCCACTTGTTGGAGTTGTGTCAGTGTTCAGCAGTACCTCTGGGGGACCTTGCTATTCTAGCTGTGATGCTGTAGTCACCAAACCTGTATAAAGCAAATGTGCTGCTGTGCAGTGCAGACCTGTTTCCTGCACTGAAACTATTGTCTTTGTTTCTTGCTGTAGTTTACCCTTCTCTCGAATCAGATGAAGATAATCCAGTATTCAAATCCCGATCGAAGAAAAGGAAAAGTTCAGATGATGCCCCTTACAGTCCAACGGGTAAGTCCCTACAGTCTGTACTGTCCAGACTCAGGCTAAGCCATGCAGGTCGCTAAGGAAAAAGCCATTTTTCAAGCAGTATGGAAACTCTAAGACCACAGCTAGCAATTTCTCTCTGTAATGCAAAGGATTAATCTTTTCCAGTGCAGTGAGAGTTGATTTCAAGTGCTCAGACACAGCAGTGTCAGCCCTGCTCCATCTGTTAGCAGGGAAAAGTCACTCCTGGGTGGGTTATTGGTTTATTTTCTTCATGCTATTGGTGAAGGAATGATTTGTGGCCACCTTAGCAGTGATGTAACAGTGAAACCCCAAACAGCTGCGTAGCCATGGCTTTTACATGGGAACTGCATAAACAGAAATGAGAAGAGGACATAGAGACTGTCTCCTCCAGGTTGAGCCAAAGTTTATGGTCTGGAGGGTGTTTTTTTAATGGCTCATCAGAGGCAGTGACAGGCCAGGGGTCCCTAGAGCCCCTTTTGCTGTCACCCAGTGACAGTGGGGAGTCTCAGCAGCTTGCTGCATGTGTGACAAAGAAGCCCCACATCTCATTGGCTTGTGACACTGCATATTCATCCACAGTGGATGGGACAGTGAACGCTGTCCATGTGGAATTGACATTGGGAGACGCTCATGCCCTTAGTGTGGGCAGAAATCTCCTGTGGCTTTGGCTTTAGGAGTTGAAGCAGTTTGTAAGCAGGCCAATGAATGTTAAAGTCAGGTAGCTGCAGGGTTACATTTGTCAGTTATTTGACTGTGTTATGTCTTTATTGGAAGTTTCTTCCCAGAACCCTGTAACAGGGTGGAGTTTGTCAGCACCTCCTGCCTTTCCGTACATCCTGAGGAAGGAAGAGCAGAGGCTGCTGCATCCCTGGCTCTCCCTGCTCAGGAGGGCAGAGCTGTGCTGCCCAGTACGTGGTTATGCTGCTCATGTGGGCACATCTCACCTGCATCTTTCTTTCATTGTAGCGAGAGTCGGCCCCTCGGTGCCTAGACAAGATAGACCAGTGCGAGAGGGCACGAGAGTCGCCTCCATCGAAACTGGACTTGCCGCCGCTGCTGCAAAGTTGTCACAGCAGGTGAGGTTGCTTGAGAAGTAGCCACCAGTAAATGAAAGCCTTCCTCTTCCCCAGCAACAGTCATGCCCAAATAGCAGTGCAGTGCCAGTCCTTACCTTACACAAGACTCATCAGTCTCAAGAGAAATAAATGGGATGAGAAGTCCAGTAGTGTTGCAGCATATCTGACAATGCCACAGCACAGAGCAGGCAATGTATCAAAAGTGTACAGAAGTATGAGAGAGAAAGTATATCTGCAGGGTTCTTGTAGGCCAAAAGGTCTAAGTGAATAACAAAAGGAGGTGCCCTGAAAGGAGTGTGCATGAACCATATATTGACATGTATGTGACAGTCTGACTGTGTGATTGCTTTGCCTGTAAAAATCAGCTGCTGGGAAGCCTAAGGATTTACTCTTGTAGAGTTTTGGTGAACTGTGAGTATCTGTGAGTTTAGCAAAGATATTGAGGCACTTCTGGGTGTTGATAAGTATCCTTTGGTGTCCGAAGGAGTCAGATATATGGTAAACGCCTCATGAAAGGAGGCCCCGCAAATGTGACGCTCTGCAAGGTGCTAAGGTGATGAGGTCTCCTGGAGCAAGGTTGGCAAGACACTTTGGGGAGTTGATGGAGATCCCCAAGGCGGCCTTGGTGACATAGGGCTTTTGTGATGGGTATGTGAGAAGAGGAGCTCTAAGAGTGCGATAGCAAGTTTTCATCGAGAAGTAGGCTGAAGACAGATATACCAGGGAAACAGGATGGCAACAGATCCATTTTTCTCTCAGTGTGCATGTAAAAGTGCAGTTATAGGTGGGAAGATAATGTGTGTGTCCATCAAAAGGATGTTTAATATCCTCCATTCTATTGCAAAAGTGTATGAAGATACCTGAAGATAGGAGGTGCAAGTTTATGTGGAGCATCGTAAGGTTTGTACATGCAAAAATCATGCTCGTCTCCCAAGTCAGGGTCATTTTGGTCTTGGCCAGCTCCCACTCACTGCAGTGTACACAGAGTAAAAAAAGAAGGAGGCTCTGCACAAAGTATATACATAGATGCAAGAAAGGCAGCGTGTGCGTGCAGCAAAGAGAGCTGTGAGCAAGATGGTATTGGAACAGACCCTCAGCAATTTTTACATGGCAAACTTCGTTGCTTTTTCATTGTGTCAGGACCCTAAGCAACGCCGCTGGCCCTTGCCATAGCTAAAGGTCTGCTAGGGATTAATATGAGCTTCATGTTTGTCATTTTAAAGGAGGAACAAAAAGGCAAGAAGAAAAAAAATACCAAAAAGAAGCTGTCAACCAACAACGTGAACAAACCGGCTCAGGAAGGCAGCTCTCCAGAGCCAAAGCTGGAGTCACATGCCAGCAGCCTCACAGATCACGAGTACACCGCAGGGGCCAGCACCTTTGGGGTCGCCCAGCCTAACAGGGGATCGCAGCCGATGGCGCCTGGTGTTTTCCTCACGCAGAGGCGACCTTCATCATCCTCACAGAACAACGCCTCCGCCAAAGGTACCAGGAAATGCCTGGGGTTATGGTACAGGAGTGGGGAAGGGTGATTCAGTCATGTAAATGGTGCACTTTGCAGGGCCCTCACATGTTGTATCTGACATGGGTCTGTAAAAGGGTTTTGGCAGATCAGATCTGTTGGAGACCTGGCCCATGGCCTTCACTGCTCTGGCACTTTGTGCCAAATAGGCTTATTGCTGCTGGGCTGCTTGTTGCAGGGTGTGAGGCATCCTATACTAGGAAATATTCCCGAGTATGTCCCAAGGTAACTAGAACAGATAGGTCCTGTGCTTAAGGAAGATGTGCAATGGTCACGTCACAGTCTAGCCTGTCTGATGAAGCCTTAAAATGAACCATCATGGCTGTTTTGCCCAGGACAAGGTCAGGAACTGTTGTGTTTGTAAACCAATTCCTATGCAAACATGTAAATGAGGAGACCCTACCCAGCGAGTGTAGAGCAATGTGAATCTGAAAACCCATCTTGAGAGCTGCCACAAGGGAGCAGAGCAATGTCAAACCTTGGGAGTAACACAACCACACAACCAAAACCAAGAGAGAGGCAGAGGTCGCTTGTCTGCTACAGGGAAAGCATTGTACACCTGAGGAGATCTTGGAGCCTGGGCTAGGTCCTCCTATTCTCTGCTTGAACTTTGCAGTGAAAGTGTGCTAAATGCAGATGTGTGGGACAGGCAAAAAGATCAGTCCAGTGCACTATGTGCTATGAAAATTAAGTGTGCGATCCCACTGGGAGAGGCCCTGATGTAAAAAGCCAGGTGATGTGGCAGATGTTTCCCCTGTATTTGAGTGGAGTAAGTTAAAGGTAGTGTGAGATGTCATGCAGACCTCTCTGAGAAGTGCCAAGCAGTAAATTGTCAGGGCAACTGAATGGGCCATGAAGTGGTGTGAACAAGAGGACATGTACAGCCAGTGAGGAATAGTGCCCTGCTAGGAGCTGGCCACGCCTGGGCCTATCTGCAGAACCAGACTGAAAAGAAAATACTTGCCTGGAATTATGTCTTAGTGGTGAAATGGTGGCATTAGTAAATCAGCTCCAAGCGAGTGGAAGATGTGATGGGAAGACGAGTGCTGAATGGAGCCGAACCCCAGAGCCCTGGCCGATGAGTGGGGCAGCCCAGTCAGGGCATCATGAAGGCAAAATGAACAGGCATGTGGATCACACCTTGTCCATGATAGCTGAGTCCCCAAAGGAGGGAAGGAACCATGTGCCAAGAAAGTGAGTGGCTGCCCTCTCAGGGCAAGGAGCGCTTTCAGGACCTCCTGTGCTGGGCCTTGAGACAGCTGAGGGTACAAAGGGGACTTCAAAGCATCTCTCTGCATGGAGCACAGGAAAGTGCTGGGCCTGGGGACTACAAGATTGGGCATCACTGTGAATAAAGGGAATGTGGAAGGAAATGGTGGGATGAAGCAGAGCTAAGGAGCTCTGGAACCACTTTGTCATCAGGGAAGGGAGAGGACTCAGTCTGGAAGAGTGAGGTTAGACAATGAGAAATGAGGAACCTGTAAGTTTTCTTAATGGTGGATGTGGAAGCACATGTCTTGTTGAGGAAAATGTATGGTGTGGAGGCTCACAGCCTGCCATTTGGTCTGGAGAAGTAGATTGTAGAAAGTGTCATCCACGCTGTCACGGCCTTTAAGGCTAAGGTTCTTCATGCAGATGGGAAAACTGAAGAGGAGCTGAGTCTCTGCAGGTATTGCACGAGTACACCAATAGCTGCGTGATGGAAAGGGAAGAAGATGTGTGAGTTTGTGTTGCGCCAGGTACCTTGGAGACCAGTGGAGTTTCTTGCTGTGAGTTACGTGGTAGCTGGTGAGAGGTGGGGAAGAGATCAGCTGTGATACTTCCACAAGTAATGGAGAAGACAAGTATGCAAGGTACCCATACTTTACTGTACTGCACAGCACATGAGCAAGGCCTGGGCGCATGGTAGTGTTTTCCTTTCGTGCATGTGGGGACAGGGAACGTTCCCCTCTCCAGGTGCTTTGTAATGCCTTGGTGCTAGCTTGACTGTGTAGGAGGGAAGTGTGTGTTTGTGTGTGTGTGTGTGTCTCTGTGTGTTTGTGTGTGTGTGTGCGTGCCTTTTCAGTGGCCTTCTGACTAGGCTGGATACAGGTGGTCTCTAGTGCTGGTGGAAGACAGGAAAAATGTTGCAGAGCCCAGAATAGAAGCTATGATGCTGTGTGGATTGCTCTCAGTGAGGTGGGTGAGGGACCAGGCTTCCTCTTGCCAGTGCTTGGCCTGAGATTCACCATGGTGTGTGTGAGCTCAGCTCCCCTGCGCTGTAGGTCCCCCTTTCAGGGTGCGGAGAAGCGTGGAGAGGTGCCCTGAGAGCCTTGGGGAGTGCGCATGTGCATGGTTAAAGCAGGCACTATTTACAGGCCTGCCGGGGGTGCTGCTGGGTGGAGGAGCTGCGGGGGGTGCCAGTGTGGAGGGGGGGGACCTCGCCTGTGAGGCACTGAGGTGTGGTGCAGCTTTGGAGTGGGGAGGTCGGACTGTCACCCTGTGGGGAAATAGGTTGCCCATGAGCAATGCCTGATGCATAATGAACCGGGGCACGTGCAGCCTGGGTGTCCGGCAAACGTGGAGGCAACAGGTGCCCAGCAGATGCAGAGCAGAGGAGGCGAATGAGCTGTGTCCCCTCTGTGAGCAGGGTGTGTTCAAAGGCACGTGTCCCTGGTAGACAGGTAAGTGGCAGGAGATGCCCCAGTGACAATCCATCACGTCCCACACACCTGGGCTTCCCTGTGGGGTGTGCGTGAGGCTGGTCGGCGGTTTGGCAGAGGCTGTCCCCTCGGCGCCGTGTGTGACGTGACGCAGGGTGGTGGCGGAGGGACCTGCACGCTTGAGGGGTGATGGTGGCAGGGCTGGCGGGGGCCTGTAGCGTGGGGACGGGGGGTAGGGATGGTCCCGGGGAAGGTGTCCAGGAGCCCGGGCGGGCGCTGGAGGAAGGAGGCCGCCGGTGCGAGGCTGGA